CTAAACTCTTTTGATTACCTCATTTAATTGCATTGCTGTGAATATCATATGTATATATTGATGGCTCCTATTTTTTAATCTTCAGCTCAGATATCCTCATTGAATTCCAGATCTCAATATTTCAAACTTAATCTGTCCATAAGTAAGCTCCGAATTTTCTTTCAAAAATCTGTGCCTTGTGGCCTTCTCCATCTTAGATAAAAGCCTCTCCTTTCTACCAGTTGCTCAGGCACAATTGTGGTTCATCTTAACTTCTCCCAGTCTCATTATTCTCCATTCAATCAATCACCACCAGGATCCAAACTTTCTCATCCCTCTACTACTACATGCTTGTCCAAGCTTCCACATCACTCATCTGGATTCTAGTGACAATTCCCTGAGATTTTCCCTGCTGCTGCCTTCCCTTGCCCTACTCCATCCTCATCTACTCTCAACAAACAGACAGGAAGGATCCATTTAAAATGAGTCAGACCATGTCATTCATCTACCTGAATCTGCAAATGGCTCAATTTCACTCAGAGTGAAAGTCAAAATCCTTACTGTGTCTTGCAGGCTGCTGTGTGATCACTGCTCCATGCCCCACGCCACCATCATCTTTCTAATTTCATCTTTAAAAATCCACTCAGTTTAATTCATGACTTATTCTTCAAAGGTGCCAGGTTGTATGCTCTTACCTCGAGGCCTTTGCTCTTTGCTTTCCCAGCTGCCTGGAATACTGCTTCTCCAATTATTGCTTGGTTGACTCCCTCGTATCCTTAGGGTCTTCACTCAAATAATGCCTTATTTCTTCCAAAAAACCTCTCCATAATCTCAGCTCTCCATGACTTCCTATTCTCTTTCCCCATCCTATTTTTCTGCATATCTCCTATATTACATATTTTACTAATTGATTGTGTTTATTTTCTCTCCATATCACTATAAATATAAGTGCCTTGAAGGCAGAGATTGTTCTTTGTTCATTGCTGCTGTTACCAGAACTGTTTGTTTACAGGGTTATAGAAAAGATAAAACTTTCTTTCAGCAACATAGAACAGATATTCAATAAATAGTTTTGAATGAATGAAACTTGAACATTTATTTGAATCGAAAAGATGTTCAATAAATAGTTTTAAGTAAATGAATCTTGTTCAAACACCTCATTTTGCTCAGTGTCACACCACTTACCTACCTCCCTTGAGGTGCAGACCTTTGAGATGTAAGTATGGTTCTGAGCCAGTCTCACAGACAACCATGTGCATGAAAATGAGAAAAGTTTGGCTATTTACCAAATACATTGGGGCTTGGAGTTGTGTAAACATTGCTCTAGTGACTGATGTAACCTTTTGCAAGACCAGAACCTTCCCTTCAACCCACCAGGAATGCTGTGAACTGCAAAGAAGCCGTCATACACTTATGTACAGTATTTTTCAGCAATGTTTATTATGAAAGAGTTTGGGATCCAGACATCCAAGAACCTTTTTTTTTTTTCCAAACCCTTGTGTCGAGGGCTGACTTTCAATAGGTAGCAATGAGGGAGTTGTTCTGCTACGCACAAAACCTCGACCCAGAAGCAGGTGGTCTACGAATGGTTTAACACCAAGTTTCCCCACGAACATGCCATGCCTGGCGGGCGAGGGGGCAGCCGCCTTTCTGGCCCCAAGAACCTTCTATAAATGTTCCTTAAGTTTTGCAGACCAAAGAACAACAATAACAATAAACTCCACATTCCAAAAGTTAAGAAGAATTAGCTTATACAACGTCACTTTTCTAACTCTCAGATACCCAGAGGAATAGACATTCTTTAAAAAGAGAGACATCTTTGCCATATGACTAAATCCACATAAGTTGCTTAAAGTATTTTCAAAATATTTTCATTCATCTTTCTAATTCCACTGTTTAGTACCACTTGCCTTTCTCACTTAGCATATGATATAGTCCATTGTATTCAGAAGTACTCAATCCAGTCTTTTTTCCTGTTCTCCTAAATAACATAAAGTGGAGCTAAGGTATACCTACACAGATGATCTTTCACTACCAAACTATAAACTTGTATAACCATGACCTCAAACTAATGTCTGGTTGATAGCTATAATGCCCATCAAATCCACATCTTACACAATGAGAGTTTAGGGACAAAGAATCAACTTCACAACTTCCCCAGTGACATTGACCTGTAGCCTGGACTATCATTATATAGAACTAGGTTTCCCTTGAAAAAGAGTGATTTAAGGGAATCCCAACATCTAAGACGTTAGCAGAGATGAGAAGTGACAAACTCAAATACCTGGTAGCCTAAATCAAGAACAATGGGAGCTATGGAGGACTAGGGAAAACATGTTCCATCTATAGGAAGTAGATGCTGACCAGACACAGTCCATGGGTTATTCATATGGGAATGTGGACACACTACTACCAGAACTCTTGAACTTGCTAAAAAAACAAGATATCTGGATTTTAACAACAACAACAACAAAATTTCTGGTTATCAAATACTTGGAACTAGTTCAATTTTGTTTAACTTTTTCTTTCTTCTCTTGCTCTCTCTCTCTCTCTCTCTCTCTCTCTCTCTCTCTCTTTTCCCAGCACAACAAAACACATCTATATGGCTACATTCACCTGCAGCTGCTAGTCTGCACTACTTCTGGATTAAACAAATTCTCAGGCTTGATCCTGCCATTAGATTCTATAGTGTTGAATATAATAGATAATCAACTTGCCTACAAGTTTTAAAGTGATTGAATTGAGTAAAACTTTTTATATCTTTTTTTTTCTTTTCTCTCTCTCTCTCTTTTTTTTTTTTTTTTTTTGAGACAAAGTCTGGCTCTGTTACCCAAGCTGGAATGTGGCCTCAGACTCCTGGGTTCATGTGATCCTCCCACCTCTGCTTTGCTGTAACTGGGACTATAGGTGTGTGCCACCATGCCTGGCTAGTTTTTTATTTTTATTTTTTTTATTTTTTATTTTTTTGAGTTGGAGTCTCACTCTGTTGCCCAGACTGGAGTGCAGTGGCCGCTCCCGGCCACCGCACCCTTGACCTGTTGGGCTCCAGTGATCCTTCTGCCTCAGCCTTCCAAGTAGCTGGAACTACAGGCGCACGCTACCAACCTGACTAATTTTATTTGATTTATTGTAGAGATGAGGTCTCACCAAGTTGCCCAGGCGGGTCTCGAACCCGCGGGCTTAGGCAATCCACTCACCTCAGTCTCCCAAAACGCGGGATTACAGGCTGAGTCACCGAGCCCGGCTTGGCTAGTTTATTTTTAAAAATTTTTGTAGAGATGGGGTCTCATTGTGTTGGCCAGACTGATCTTGAACACCAGGGCTCAAGTAATTCTTTTATCTTGGCTTCCCAAAGTGTTGAGATTGCATATGTGAGCCACTGCACCCCACCTGAGTGACATTCTTTAGAAGGATACTAGAAGATACAAAAAAACAGATTGGCTGAAGAAAACGAGGACCACCACTTCTTGCCCATCTTCCCACCATACACCCAAGGAACAGTTCCTAAATTTTCCTGAAACAAATATTCCACAAAAACCAAGTCAATAGAGAAAAAGGATTCTGTAGCAAATTCTCCTCTACAGGGTAAAATACTATCTCTACTGGATGCTAGGCAAAGACCAAAGTGCCCTATAACTTTTACTTGGAAGAAATCTTAAAGGACATCTGGACACAGTATCCAAATGACACAGCTAATGCTCCTGTTTTGGGATACCTGGCACCATTCATTACATATCATGGGCAATGAGAGAGTAAGAAATTTGCATTTTATTTATAGTTCTATTGATTACTGACTGTGTGACCTATGTACATTACTTCATCTTTTGGAGCCTTGGATTATCTCTTTTAAACAAGGGAATTGAATTGATTTCTTCAAGATTTTACAGCAATAAAGACACTAAGAATATACAGAAGTCTACCAAAGATTATGTAGCATGACAACCCTCTGCATTGTAGTGCCCCCCCCACACACAGACACACACACACGAAACATTTCCTTCCACATCTAAGAATGATATAATCTTTTGAGCATGAAATGAAAAATGATAGCTAAAATTAGTATCTTAAAAAGTAAACTGCATAATCACTGAAGATGAGATTTTCTTAAAACTGTGGAGCTGTGATAATATCTGTCATAAGAGAGGAAACTGAAGGAGTCAATTTGAAAGGTTTTGGGGGTGCTCCCCCCTTCCATTGAGATTTGCTTTTTCACATACCACACTATGATGGAAAAACTAAAATATTTCCCCAGGGCCTGCGTGATCTGTACTTCACAAGACGGCCTCTGACATTAGACAGTATCACTCAGCCTTGAATTAAAATCTGCTCATACAGAAATACAGGGCATGTCTCAGTTTCCACACAGTCATCTCTCTCACATTTGCATTTAACTTTTTAGTTTACAAGTCCCCTTTACATACAAACTCTCATTTATTCTCAAAAACAGCCCTATTTAACGGAATCTATATATTATTATAAAATCTCTCCCAGGTGAATTTGGAAACATCCCTCCCAACCTACCTGCTAAGAAATAATTATCTTCTGTTGGCCATTTAACAGTTCAGGAAGCCCCTTCACTTCTCTTTGCTTTTCAAGACAATGCATGACCTGCTCTGTGGTACAGTAGAGGGGAGGGAGAAGGAAGAAACAAAGCTAATCTTGGCCTTAGCCTGCTGAATAAACTTGAATAAATCACTTCAACTGACCAAGCCTCAGTTCGCTAAGCTGCCAAATGGAGAAAATTATATCTCTCCTACAGTAGTTAAGATCAAAATCAATATATTGATAACTATATCAAGTGACTTTATAGTTTGAAAAATGCTGGTCTGCAAACCTCATCAACCCTGGGCAGTAAGGAAGAACAGAGGAATTTCACATGGTCACACAAAACTGCAAACCTAGATTTAAACTGTAAGTCAGTGGTGGAGGCAACAAGAAACCCAGCCCAGGGGACAGGAGCAATCAGCTCACAGAAAAACACCCATCTCTTTACAGACCAGTAACAAATCACCTGATCTTACCTGACTAGGCTGTGGCCAGTCCTCAAAAATCTTCTTTCTCTTCCTGGACAAAGGGGGCCAGACCACAGATAGTGGTCAGTGGAGGTGTGGTTGGCTCAGATGAGGTCCAGTGAGAGAGTGCCTGTGCTGTCACGGCAGTTAGTCTGAATCTCTCTTCACCAAGCGGGCAGAGGGCAGAGTTATGTTCTCACTCTCAAACAAAGGGTCAAATGAAAGGACTGAGGATGTTTACAGGGTGGAACTCAGCCTGTCAGAGACAGAGAACTGAGTTTGAGGGTGAGGCCTTTCTTGTTCTGCAATGACACACCCCTCTTTCCTGGCCTCTCCCTTTAGAAGTCCTGGATCTTTCTGCCAACTTCCTGTATAACTGACATCTGACTAGAGAGAGCAGGAGCAGCCTTCTGTCCATTCCCACATGGCCCCTGCATACTTCCAAGTAGGTATAATAAACTTAAGCCTGAAGCCTACACTCCTGTTATTGATATTCTTTATAATGACTTGATTTATTGGATATGTATGATTTGAGGCATCACCATCACTTTTGTTTCATAAGTGTAGAAGACATGGCAAGCAGTATATCTCTATGATAGCAAACACATGTACACACAGAATCTCTGGTCAATATTTATAATACAGAATTTGCCACAGAACATTGTTTCCTACGTAAGTGTGTGTCCCCCTTGCTAGATTGTAAACCCTATGCGGGTAACAACTACACCTTACTCTCCCACATATTCCTCACAATTCCTAGTGTGTAGTAAAAAATAAATACATATTGAATGATATGATATGAATGATCAATTGATATAAAGTATTCAGTGAATCCTGATCTGTCATTTAATGGTTTTGCAACTACAGCATGTCATAATTTCTATTTTTGCAAGGATTTTTTTTTTGTCATCTGTAAATTGGGGATATCATTCCTCCTTCAGAAATGCAGATAGAATTTGAAAGGAAGTGTATGAGAATAAACGTAGACTAAGACTTGACATAGCAACGGTGCTAAAAAAATGAAATTGAATCTTAATGAATATATTCTGAAACCCAAATAAGTGTATTCTACATACAGAGTTGGTATAAAATAAAAGTACAAACTGCACAAGTAGATGGATTATTGGAAGAACAGAGAGGACAGAAAACAAAGTGCTCTATGTGTATGATTGAATTTCAATTTCCTCTCCTAAATTCTCTATTCCATTCAGCAGACTCCGGTCAAACCAGATTGTATTTATTTAATGACTGGAGAAACTGGGGTGCACTGAGGAACTAGGTTGGTTGGCTTCCATCTTTTTTTTAAAGAAAAATAACTGGCATTCACCCTTCAAAAAAAATGGTGTACAAAGTTCTGGGCATACTAAGATCATGAAGAGATTCCATAGGAAATAAGGTGCAAACTGGCAACTCACATAAGGCCACCCAGAAGAGGTCACTGTAAACAGGGTTTTGACATGCCTCCACAATGTTGAGGGCATAACCGATGTATGCTCATCCAACAAGTAGTTAACTGAGCAACTCTTCCAAGTAGACAAGGATAGACAAAGGAACTAAACACAGTCTCTGGCATAAGAAATTCAAGGTAAAATACATAAGAGAATTAACATCGTGTCAAGTGGAAATGCTGAGCACCACAGACAGGATCACAACAAGTACTGTAGTAACCCAAGGAGGGAGCAATGCCAGGGAGGCTGCACAGAGGAAGAGGCATCATTGGATCTGGGTTATTAAGGAGAGCTAGAATTTCAGCAAGCTCAGATGGCAAAGTTGGGTGTAAATGTTATCCATGAGATGGACTCAGCCACTACAGCCAGATGTAACTGATTTATGCCTCTCTCATACAGACCCTAGGCTCAAAAGAGAGTTTCACAGAACTGGTATCTAGGTCATACCACTTAGACGCCATAAAACTACAGGGCAATTAGAAGTAATTGCGAGGCAGATACTATTCCCACTCAGCTCTGAGTGTCTTTATGATGGCTCAGGGAGGGGACAAGTCAGGGAGGAGGCATGGAAGGATACTGAATCTCTGCCTGGTCTCTTAGGAGTGGGCCAACCAGTGCACTGCTGTTTGATATATGTTATTTTAAAGGGCAAGAGACTTTGTAAAAAGATACCACTTGTTCACAAGGCAGCTCTCTAATTATCATTAGGTTTCCAGGGACCACTAAAGGCTTCTCCCAATTCATGCTGAGTTCATATCATTCTATAGCCTGCAGTAACTGGGGCAGGACAGACAATCTACCCCGGAGAAATACAAGCTGTAGAAAGAATGCCACATGGAAAACCTCGGCTCTGGTTTGCCACTCACTGGGATCAGGGACAAGGGGCTTAGTTTTCTCCAAGCCTCGCTTGCCTCTTCTGTGCAGTGGGAATTATAATAGAGATCCAATCCACCTCCCTGAGCTGTTGAGGGAGAAAATTAGATCCTAGAGGTAATAAGGGCTTTGTAAATTCCAAGTATTGGAATGAATATGAAGTGCTATTATTATGAAACATGTGACTATATGTGGGAATTCCCCTTCATGTCTACTATTTCCAGTCACATCAAAGGTCGTGTACAGATCTGGTGGATGACACGATCAACAGCCAAGAGCAGAAATTCACAGACTAATTTGTACTGGATTGGTCTTTAGAGATCATTTTTCTTAGTGTCTTGTCCCTTCTCTCTCTTTTATGATAGCTTTTGCAAATTATTCTCCTTTCTCCCTCCTTTAATTCTAGTGTCACTGATAAAGAATGTAGGTTTTTACTTATTTGGGTTAGGGAACACTGGTTCATTAGATCTCCTCTTCTTCTACCATTTTTCAGATGCTGACAGAGTGACACCCTGATGATCACACAGGCTAGTTTCCTCCCTGGCTTTGCAGGACTGTCCTCTTGCATGCTTCCTGGGGCAGCAAATGAACAGGAGGAAGTACAAGTGGCATGGCTCCTGATCAGATAGGAGCCACAACCACCTCATATCCAGGTCTTTCCCCCAGCAGATCATGCAGAGAAGGATTGGTACACACACATGCATTACCAAGAGTAAACAAACAACTGCTGTCTTCAAGAATCTCATATCCCAACTCCTAAGATACACTCCTCTCCCAGGGGTCTTTGGGGGAAGAGGAACTCAGTGATGATGAATAGATACTGGCAGCTGTTTTCCAAGCAAATAGGAACTGAGCCACATGAATTCCTCCTTCTCTTGAATTCCAATAGTACACAGCATATATCTCTAGTATTGCACTCTGTTGTGGCTAGTTTTCTTCCCTGATACATATCTGTCTACTCACTTTAAAGGCAGGGGCCATGTCTTAAACATCCTTTTTAGGATCTACAGTACAATACCAGTAGTATATATTCAAGAGAATTTGAAGGATGAATGAATGAATAAACAAATAAATATACGAAGGCCCTGCAGAGAGAGAGAAACAATAAGCCTCCCTCCCCCTGCTTTTGACAGGTGATAAAATTCAGCCCAAAGCATCTTTTTTACTCTCTATTTACTCTGGACAATCTGTCCCTTATCAGATGAGCTCAAAGCTGGTCAGAAATATGCATATTTTATTTGAAAATATCTGCTTCCCCGAGTTTTGTTTTGCTGCACAGACATTTGTCTGCTTTGCTGTATGTTGTGTATCAGATAGGATTCAGACAAACTGCTTTGGCTTTCTAAACTGTTTTGTTTTTTCGTTCAATTATCATTTATCTCATTTCCCTTCCTGCATCTCACACTTATTCCCAAGTTCCAATTTCATCCACAATGAAAGAGAACCCTTTTATTGTTATTCAGTTTCACTGAGGGCTAGAAAGGGCACTGGCATGGAAGGCAGAAAGCCTAAGATTTTGTTCTCATTCTGTCACTAACTCGCAGCATGACCTTCAGCAGATCAGCCATCCTATCTTGGCCTCTCTGGCTCCTTTGCAAAATGAGGTCTGCTCTTGACAGCCACAGAATCTAAGTACAATATTTTGAGACTCTCTATGCATCAAGCTACAGTAATAGTTGTACCATTTTTCACATTCAGTGCAGATGAGGAAGAATTCTTTTCACTTTTGGTTTTGCTTTGAGACAATGGTTAGGCATCAGTTGGCCCAGTGAAGCCCTTCCTGGCTCTCCAGCCCAAATCCCATCCCACCTCTTGATCCACTTCCACCCAGGGTAGCTTCATGGTATGTAACCTGTGATACATGCCCTGCATATAGAAGGGCCCCATACTAGGTTTTGTTCTGCCGTCACCATGTTGAAATTCTTAGTAGTTTTTTAACAAAGGGCCTGCATTCTCATTTTGCTCTCGGCCTCAAAAACTGTGCAGCCATTCCTGCCCCTACTCTTGCACCTCCATTCCTCCAAAGCATCCTAGAACTAAGAAACATTAGAAAGAGGAAAACAATGGTACAGCTTCTAGTGGTGTCTTCCAATGGCAGGGAGCAAGGCTACCCACAAGGCAGAGCTTTGCCTTGGAACTCCCTTCCTTACAAATATAAATCCAAAGAAAGGACAAGACAGGGAAACATGAAACTTGCCAAAGGCCCCACCCCTATCTTGGGTAGATTGGGGCTCTGACTCACGCCCAAGGTGTGACTCACCATTCCTGCTAAGCACCTGGCTCTTCCCTGCTCATAGGGCTCAGGAGGAAGTGTGGGTTACCCCAGAGTGGATGTGGAAACCATCTGGTCACCTCTAAACATGACAGAGCTAGGTAAGATTTCAGAGCAGTTTCAGGCAGCCATCACAGTACACCATTATCAGAGAAAAATACCACTCCAGAACAGAGACTGGACTAACTCCGGCTCACCTTGTGAGCCAGTTCCCATTTCCTCTCAGCATTAATTCTTTTTTTGGATTTCTTCTTCCTCTCTGCATCTTTGTGATCTACAGGGAAACAACTTGTTTTGCTGTCACACAAATAGCAGTCCTACCCTCAGTGCAGTGGCCAGCCCATTCTGATGCTCACTATATGTAGCCAAGTAACTTGAAGATGACCTTGATATTTTAAAACCTAGTAAGATGCAGTTATTATCATTGGTTCTTTTCTCCTATCCAAAGCTCTTCTCCTAACAGCCTGAGTCATTTTACATGTCTCAGCAAGGAAGAAATCAAAGAAAGCAGAAGAACTTTGACAAAATTTAAACATGTAAATAAAGAGCTTATGATAAATTACAATGCAAATAAGACAA